TACTACGACAACGAACGAGTAGTAGTACGTAGTTAGTTAGTTATTATAATATAGTATATATATATATATATATATATATATATATATATATATATACCTCCTCTACTTAATACTGGTGCAATGAATCAACCCCATAGATCACACACCTTTCCATCCACGTCCGTCAACGGAAGATAGTCGAAGCCGTGCTTGTTTAACACCTCGACAGCCTCTCCGCAGGTGGAGGTAAGCGCAGCAGTCACGGGCACGGGCAGATCCAGATCTTTCACCGTCGCACCATTAAACCTGTTACCAAAATGGATCGCCGGTGTAGTAAAACAATTTGAGACACATGAGCATAAACATAAGTTGGAATATTGATTTGTCGTATGCGAGATCGTTGAGCCAAGGAGTACACTGGGTGATATTCTGTCACGTACCAACTCCGCAGAGAATTGATTATTTATGATAAAATACGCATGCAGATTATACAACAACCGTAAACATACCTATCAACCTCAGACTCTTTGGCAGCCCTCTCCATGATTCCATTCTCATACATCCATTCATCGTTCAAAAACTTAGACATGTAGTTGCGCAAACCATCGGGCAGCATCACCACACACTTCTGTCCCGCTTTCAGTTCTTTAGCGGCCTCGATAGCACACGCCATGGCGGCGCCGGATGAACCGCCGCACAACAGACCTAAATGAATATATTGATAAAGATGACATGTTGAACATCTCAACCATGTAGCATCCTGAAATAACAGACCCCAAAGCGTTTATCGTAGAGATACTAGCCGTAAAAATCTCAACAAACCAATAATTTGAGGAAATAAATATCTGAGGGGCACGTGCTATGATAAAACCGTGTGCTTGCGTGATCTTACTTTGGCATTCGAGAATGTATGTATTTGGGGTATATCTATAGGACAGTATAAGCAGAAAACGAAGTTCGTCCCTTGCGATATGCATACCTTCTTCCTTTATCATCCGTCTCGCCATAATAAGACTGGGCTTATCAGTGCACTTGTACCACTTATCGACCAGACTTCGATCCAAGGAGTTGGGGATAAAGTCATATCCAATGCCTTCTACTTGGTACATTGGCCCATCGACATTCAGACTCGCCGGCTGTGCCAGAATAGACCCAACCGGATCAACACCCACGATGATGACATCGGGACACACCTCCTTCAGCCTACGGGCGATACCTGTGTTTATTCCAAGTAAGTTCAGGTCGAAGGAAATATCCAATAAACCCCACTTTAAACGGGATTAAACCCTTTAAGTCATCACAGTGCTCATTCGTCACACTTTGACGGCCACTGGGTGTTATTGAACAATAAAATTTGTCCTTAAGCACGTCCTGCCGACTATATCAACAGGTGCGAGAGTAGCCGCTCCTCCCGCACCCGAATATCCACTTTGAATCCACACGTATTCCTAGCAACATACAAACCAGAAACAGCGCGCTTCCGCTTACACAAACTATTACCGTTATTAAGCTAACTAAACAATACATCTCGCAAGGACACGTATAAATTAATTACCTGTGATTGTACCGCCAGTACCGGCACCGGCTACCAGCATATCTACCTTACCCCCACACGCCTCGAGAATCTCCTCTGCGGTGGTGTCGTAGTGCGCCAGAGGGTTGTACTCATTGTCGTACTGGTTCAGGATATGCGAGTTGGGAATTTCGCGGTTCAAACGCATGGAAACCCCGATGTGAGATTCTGTACAGGGTAAAGTGGACCAAGGTTAAAAGTGAGATTTAGGGTTTTTTTTGGTTTGGGTGGTGTTGTAATATGAAATAATTGCAACATTCGACTATGCACAAACACGTTGAAAAAGTTCACTGGCCGCTCAGCCCTTCCAACTATATCCGTGTGAGAACTTGTTCATAAACCCACAATCGCCGTTCAAAGAGCATAGTTACATATCCTGCGATACCTGGAGAGTCAAAAGAGGCATCGTTGGGAGTTCTGACAATCTCGGCGCCCAGGGCTCTAAGAGTGTCGACCTTCTCGTTACTCATCTTCTCGGGTAGGCAGATTATGCACCTGTATCCCTTCACAGCGGCGCATAGAGCCAGTCCCAAACCTGGAGTTCCAAATCAACAGTCAATATTAAGAAACAAACGACGAATCGAATATGTCTTTGACGCATCGATTTTTCTGCGTTTAGGCGACAAGGGATCTCATGTCAGTGCCTGTTATGCGGTCGAAATCTTTGTTTTGAGATAAATAACAGCACATGTATTGGACTGGTTGCACACAGCAATACAAACACGGACACGACTACACCTATCCGTGAATTGTCCTGGCAGGATCACACCTATTCGTAAATTGTCTTGGCGAGTCTTAAGTGAACCGGTGGGAAAACTCGAATATAGACCAGGAAAAGCCTCAGGGTTGACAGATAGGTCATACACACCTGTGTTACCACTAGTTGGTTCTATGATAGTGTCTCCGGGCTTGATTTTCCCACTCTTCTCCGCCTCATCAAACATTCGCTTGGCAATACGGTCCTTAACGGAACCAGCCGCGTTGAAAAACTCACATTTCGCCAGGAGGTCGCATTCTAATCCTTCAGCTTTATTGATAGTGTTGATCTGTAAATATTGGTCAGTAACGGTACGCATCGATGTTGCTCAGATAAGGTATCACCTACTGACACTTGATGTATAAAACTTCCAGATCACTTTATACACACGCGCGCCCGACCAAGTATAGACATCTCAATATTTGACTATTCTGAAGTAGATCGTACAGCACGTGAGGTGGCAAGTGCAATGATATCACACATAACGATTTTATTATATTTATATATATATAAATATACAAATAGATATATATATATTTTACATATATAAAATTCAATTATATATATATATATACCTAATTTATAAGTATATACAGATATACAATATATATACATATATAATTTATGTATATATTTATAAATATAAAAATTCCTTGCTAGATCGACAGGTAGTTGAATAGATACATGTATATGAACA